ATAGTGTTGTGTATGCCTCAATATATTTAGATCCTCGATATCAAGTTTTATTAAGTATTGAGCAAAAGCAAATGGCAATAGACCATCTCGACGATTTATGTCATAACCATAACTCTATTATTAACAATATATTGGAGGCTTCAACATCTAATGGTTATAGCGATAGTAATGATGATAGTAATATTGACGATCTCGAAATTTTATTATTAGATAGAGAGAAAAAAAAAAAATTATCATCAGGATCAGATAGAAAGGTGAAAAAAATATCGATTGTATCTTTAATTGAAAAATTCTCAGAAGTTAAGAGAATTAATAGGGATAAAAATATTTTAACATTCTGGGAGGAAAATTCTTTAATATATCCTGAATTGTATACCTTGTCTAGATTCGTCATGGCTGTACCGGCGACACAGGTACAATAATTTATATATTATAAAGATAACTATCTATTTTAGGTCAGCGTAGAACGTGGATTTTCTTCTTTGAAATACATATTGTCTAATTTACGTGGAAATCTCAAGGATGATATTTTAGAAGATATTATGATCGTTCGATTGAATAAAATATTTAAAATTTAAATTATTTCATTTTGAATTATGAATGTGTATATATATTGAAGTATAATAAAAATGAATGAAAAAAAAGTCTTATTTTGAGTCATTATTTTTATGTTCCCTGGACCCGAACCCTGGACCCGGGTCCTTTAAAAATTTATTACAGGACCCGAACCCGGACCCTTTTTTTTTGTTGAAGGGTTCACATCCCTGGTCTTAGTCTCTACAATAAATGTACGTCTTAGTCTCTAATCGTATTCACCGAATCTTTAAAATTATCATATCTTAGCAAACTATTTGTTTAATTTTAATCTTCGCAATTTATGTTTCTTTTCTTTGTCATAGTTATCTCTAGTGATAATTATTTAATAACTTATCATAATTCGAAAATCTAAAATATCCTAGTTTCAGTTAACTTCTAAATTCAATTGGTTTTTAGTCTGCCAGTATCTTCTAAATATAAAATTCCTAATTATCACCTTTAAATAACTAAAACACAAACTTCTTTATATACTATGAATGCTATTTATAATTCTTTGTTTTTAATTTTAGATCTTGTGTTCCTACTAGTGTTGGTAAGCGGCTCGTTTTAAGCCGATTTTTAAAAACGGCTAACTCAGGTTTTTATCCAGAAAAATATTATGCAAGCCTGAAAATTTTGCTCATAGAAGGAGCAAAGGTCTAGACATATAGTATCGAAATTTAGAGGCTTTGTCAATATTTTTCTGGCGAAAATATTGAGTTAGCCGTTTTTAAAAATCGGCTCAGAACGAGCCATTTAACAACATTAATTCCTACACAATTTTCTATCATAATCTTATCAACATTTACAAAAATTAGTTCGAAATTTAAATGAGCTACCGTAAAATAATTTTTCATTTTTAAAAATAACTATAAATCTCTTTTTATCCAAATATACATTTTAAAAAATAAATTTTCTTCTTTTTAAATATTTATTTCTCTAAATATTTTTCCTACTTTTATTTAAATTTTTTTTCTTACGTTCTTCTGGAATTTTTTTTTGTATTAGAATACAGTTTGAAACTTCTCCTTGTCCCACTGTATCCCTTGATTTGTATTAGACTGAATAGGAGAACCTGGTTTCATTTGTCTTTGGAACAAATCCTCTCTCCATCACCACTGTCATAGTTGGGAGAATTTGAATTGGGAGATTAGGAACCTAATTATAAAATAGAAATAAAATTAAATACTAAAATTAAATACTAAAATTATAGTTTTGAATTCTTTATTAAATACTAATAATTAATTATAAGTTATATAAATTAATATAAAGGGAAAACATAAATTAAAAATAATTAAATTAAAAAAATAAAATTAAAAAAATTATATGTGAAAAAAATTAAGTTAAAGTAAAAAAATTAAAGTCCCTTAAATTATAAAAAATTTCTTTTATATAAAATTAACATCATCCGATTATAGCATAATAAATTTCGTCTGATAATATTATTCAAAAATTTATATAAACCAAAATTATTTTAATAATAAACCAAATATCCTTTCTTAAATATTCATTTACATCGTCTGTTAAATTAAAGGCTATCTTTAAAATTAATGCCAAAATATTTTGAATAAGCCATACATATTCATTTGCATACTGCTCTGAAACAAATTTAACTGAATATCGCAACAATGTTAAATTAAAATTTCAGTGAAGATGTACCATAGAAGTGATAATTGTCATAATCGTTTTTTTTCAACTTTTAATTTTTTTAAAGTAAATAGGTAAAAATATGGTTTTTAAACATGTTAAATTAAAATTTCATTGTAGATGTACCATAGAAAGTGACAATTGTCATAATGGTTATTTTTAAATTTTTTGAGTTTTTTTAAAGCAAGTAGGTAAAAATATGTTTTGTAAACATGTTAAATTTATATTTCAGTGAAGATGTACTATAGAAAAGTAACAATTGTCATAATCGTTTTTCAACTTTTTTGAGTTTTTTTAAAGTAAATAGGTAAACATATGGTTTTTATACATGCTAAATTAAAATTTCAGTGAAGATGTACCATAGAAAAGTGACAATTGTCATCATCGTTATTTTTGAACTCTTTTAAGTTTTTTACAAAGCAAATTACATTAGCTTTATAGGCAGCCTCATCCCACAAGATGATTAGTTTTAACGTCTATACTTTTTGTGCCCGACCCCCCCCCCCCCTCTTTTTTTTTCTTATTACTAATATATTGTATTTGTTCATTATATATTATATGTAATATTATATATATTTGTTTTTATGACATTTTGTTTATAATTTACATTTTATTTAAAGTACTTTATATATTGTTAAATTATTTTTTTAATATATTTATTTCATATTATATACTAATAAGTAGTGCTGTAAAGTAGCGTCAAAAAAGTAACGACGTTAGTAACGTCGTTACCTTTTTTTGAAGAAAAGGAACATCATACGTTACCTTTTTCTAGAAGTAACGATTAACGGTAACGCGTTTCTTTTTTTTGGGTAACGGTAAGTCAAAATGTTACTCGTTACTTTAAATTTTTTCTTGAAAAAATATTAATTAAAAAAAATATTTTATTGTGCTATAAAATTACTTTTATTTATTTTTAATATAAATAATAAACCCAGTTTTTAAATCATATCAACCACCATTCCTTTCATTCTTATTTAAATTTTCGCTCGTTATTTTCATTCAAATTTTAATCTAACTAATATTCAATCAAAATTCAAAGTATATATTAATATTATTATTCTATATTATAATTTATTTTAAGAATATATGCCAAACTCTATAATAGTTAATTCTTCTGATAAAGAAAATTTAACCCTTCCATGGCCTCAATTTGAGACATATTTTATTCTAATAAAGAAAATTAAGGGTACAAAATCGACACTCTGAAAATTTAGATTATGTCCTAACACAAATATATCAACCTCAATGTCTAGCAGTTCCAATTTAAAAAAACATAAGAAGGTAAAAAGATGATAATATATTATTATTTTTAGATTTTAATACCTAATCTTGCTCGCAATTCCTTGCTAGTTTTTCTCTCTCTCAGAGATACCCCACACATCCATCTAACCATCCTCATCTCTGTTCTTTCTAATTTGGCTTCGTGAGTTGCTTTCATTGCCCATGTTTCACCGCCATAAACTAAACAACTCCTCACACAGCTTACCTAAACTTTCCCCTTTAACTTCAGAGAAACTTTTTTATTTGTAAGAATAGACGACATCTCTCTGAACTTCTTCCAAGCTTGTCTGATCCTTGCAACAACGGGAGAATCTACACCACCATCTGCGTTTAGCATATCACCTAAATAACAAAATTTATCCACTTTTTCTAGGGTTAACCTATTGCCAAGACCACCATTTTTTAGGTTATCATTATTATGTATCCCTTTCATGCATGTTCTACAAATAAAGGTCATTCTTTCTAACATCAAACTGCCTTTTTCCCGCTACACCTTTTATGTACCCATTTCTGGCATCTGGTGCATTATATAGAATTTCTAGCAACTCCTTTCCCACATACACCACAAGGCCACTTACCGGATTCTCCCATCTTTAGATTTTCCCCACCAATCATCACCTTTGTTTTTGATGCATTCATTTTCAGGTCCTTTGCTTCCATAGTCATCTTCCATTTACTAACTTTATCCCTCAATTCTCCCTCACTGTTTGCCATTAATACAAGGTCATCTGCATATAATATCTCCCAGGTAAGTCCTTCACGCATTTCTCTAGCCACCACATCCATTACTAGGATAAATAATAATGGACTCAGCACGGATTCTTGATGAAGTCCTACCTTCACCTCAAAGCTGTCACTATCACCATAATCCGTCCGTACTGCTGTTTGTGCTCCAACATACATTGCCATCACTGCGGTAACCAACCATTCCTCCACACCGGATTTTCTCAAGGCCCATCTTGTAATCTCACGCAACACCCTATCAAATGCTTTCTCCAAATCAACAAACGCGTAATAGAGTATCTTTTCCTTCGCAAGATACTTCTCCTGAATTTGTCTCACCACGAAAATTGCATCTGTCGTGCCTTTTCCCGTAAAACCAAACTGCATTTCATCAATTTTAATTTGTTCCCATAACCGCTTCTCTAACACTCTCTCGAATACTTTCATTGCATGTTCCAAGAGTTTAATAGCTCTGTAAGACCCGCAATCTAAAGGATCACCTTTCCCCTTGTATACTGGGATAATTATACTTCTTCGCCAGTCCTCGGGAATAGTACCTTCTGTTACAATTTGATTTGCTAAATTCATTAACCATTCAATCCCTAAATCATCAGTACCTTTAAACATCTCTGTTACCACCATCGTTAAACCCGATACCTTCCCTTTCTTCATCTTTTTCACTGCTCTCTTTATCTCATCCTTGCCAAATATACACCCTGGACCTTCTACCTTTGCACAACTAATATTATTATTCCATTCATTTTCTTCATTCAAAGTCCTTTCATGTAAATCTTCCAGGTGTTCTTAATACCACTACTATCAATCGTCATTTTTCCTTCCTTATTTTTCAAACACTTTACACCTATCACATCCTGCCACTTTTTTGACATCTGTTTTGCCATTCGAACCATATTTTTAATTCCATCAGCGCATTCCATTTCTTTAGCAAACTCGTGTCTCTTTTCTTCTTGAGCATTCGCTATTAATTTCTTAGCATTTCTTTTAGCCATCTTGTAAATATCATTATCACTATTTTCTTTGCTATTATACCATACTTTGTAACACCTCCGTTTCTCATCCACGGCTTTCGCTACCTCCGGGTTCCACCACCAAGTCTCCTTATGTCTAGGCGGCCCTCCACATACCTCCTCAGTTGTCATTACCCAGGCTTTCTTCATGGCTTCCCACTTGTCATTCACCCCAGATGCTTGTGCCACCTCCGCCTCCCTAATCGCTAATGCCATATTGAATTGACGTCTAGCACTCTCCTCCTTCAATTTCCAAACCTTCAGCCTTGGGACAAACTTTTTTTTAGTGACCCTGGCACCTTTAAGAGTGAGATCTCCTACAACTAGTCGATGCTGATTTATACATTCCTCTCCCGGTATCACTTTCACATTTTTTACTATACATCGATCACATCTCCTTAATAACAAGTAATCCACTGCACTTTTGGTACTACCCGACTTATAAGTCACCAGCTTCTCTGATTCTTTCTTAAACATTGTATTACAGACAATCATATCCATAGCATCACTAAAATCTAAAATCCTCTCTCCTTTCAAATTTCTCATGCCGTAACTGAACCTTCCATGTACTCCTTCATAACCCTCACTACTCGCTCCCACATGTCCATTCAGATCACCAGCCAGGATAATCCCCTCTTCATTTGCCAGTCTCGATGTCACCCCCAATAGACTCAAAATATATCTTTCTCTTCTTCACTTCTTCCAACCTGAGGAACATATGCCGAGATAATATTATATATCTTTCTACCAAAAATCATCTTGATAACCATTATCTGGTTGTATAGCCTTCTCACTTCGACTACTTTGTCTACCAATTTCTCCGCAACCAATACCCCAACTCCAGCCTTACCATCATTACCTCCTTGCCAAAAGAATTTATACTTTTCGCTAGTCTTGCCAATCATTCTGGTCCCATTTCCTTTCCATCTAGTCTTTTGTATGCAGCACACATCTATATGCCTTCTGTGCAATACAACGACGACTTCTCCCCCTCTTCCCGTCATACTCCCAATATTCCATGTCGCGACCCTAACTCGATCACCCGTAAACTGGTTTCTCCAATTTTTATCAGGTCGTTTATGGCCGTCATAAGTTTCATTTTCATGAATAGTGGTTCCACCAGGTTTCCCATCCTTCTTTTTGTCGTAGGCGGATGAGGAGGCCCACGGGGTACTCTGGGCTGTACCTCACCCATGCTTTGTTGTAACCATAGGGAAATTTTATAGCAAGGTTTTTACAATCGGATGCCCTTCCTGACATCAACCTCTTTAAGTGGTTTTTACACCCCGTCGAGGAGACGGTGATCCTATTCTAGACCCAGATCACAAGGAACCTTTTAGACCTCCATTAGCCGCCAAAAGACGTTGCCACTCCTCCGCCACGATGAGGCCGAAGGTAGGATTTTGGGAGAGTATTATTTTAAACATATGTTAATTATAAAATAAACATTAAAGAAATTTTCTCTCATAATATTTGAAAAGCTTAATTATGAAATTAAAATATAAGCAATTAAATTATACTATATATAGTGCTGGGAACCTACATTAAAAACTCAAGATTAATAAAATAATGGTAGTTGAATATAGTATTGGGTTTAAACAATATCTTCTATTTCTTGTTTTAGTATTGCTATTGGTATAACTTTAAATAGTTAATTTAAAAAACTTAATTTTATGTATTTTTAAATATATAATGAAACTGAAGCAAAATTGTTTTAGAAAACAGAACCTAGATATTTTTCCTGATTCCTTTTTAAATGATAATTCTGAATTATAAAAAAAATAAGAAATTGAAAAACCTTTGGCCATCAGAATATCAATTTTTAATTTTTTAGTGAGGGATTCAAAATGCAGTTAAATTTTTAATCACCATTTTCAATTGTAGAAAGCCCTGCATTTATTAATATTATCAAAAAATTGCAGCCATCCAAAAATGTGATATCAAGGCCTGCCCTTGTATCAAAAATTAACAAAGCTGGTGAAACCATGACAAAAAAATTAGTGGATATATTGCGTATTCCAGAAATTGTTTGTATAACTGTGGATTCTTGGTCAGCTTATCATCGGTATATAAAATATTCTTGTAGGTTGATAATATTGCCTTTTAAAAAGTTCTTATTTAGGGATGACTGTACACTGGCTATATCCAGACACACTTGAGAGGGTTTCAGCTTGCCTAGCTTGTAAAAGGCTAAATCAAAAACACACATTTGATTACCTAGCAAAAATAATCTTTAAAATTTTTACCACTTATAAAATACAAAATAAAGTGACCAAATGCATTACAGATAATGCAAGAAATTATATAAAAGCTTTCAAGTAAAAAAAAATTATAATATATTTACTAAAAATTTATCAGAGTATATGAACAAGAAGAAGAACCGGATGATGAAATAGTTCATCTGCCATAATGTGTATTTGAAAATCATAATGATAGTATTGTATACCTACCCAAGCATCATTCGTGTTCAGCACACACTTTATGCAAGTGTTGACATTGAAAAGGCAAATAACGATGTCCATTTTAAAGCCATTTCAAAGATTACATTTTCTAAATGTAAGCTGTTGTGGAATAAACATTGGCAATCTTCAAATTGTGCAACCATTTTTAAGGAAAACATGGGAAGATATCTTATTAAACCGGTTATAATAAGATGGAACTCTTTTTATAACTCCGTGAAATTAATAGATAGTCTTATTAAGGAGAATTGCCAAAAATTTGATGACTTGTGATAAATCTGAATTGCAGAGATTTTCAGATAGCGACAAGTCGTTCATGGATGAATTTTGTATGGTTAGTGTAAATTAAGTAATATTATATGTATATATATGTTTTATAGGTTATGGACCCAATTGCTACGGCTCTTTCTATTTTAGAGAGCGAAGGAAAAATGTATTTGGGATATCTCACTCCCACAATAACCATTATAATATTAAAACTTAAAAAAATGGCTTTAAATCATTTCAAGTTTTGTAAGCCACTTACTAACTCAATCCTGGAAGGCATAAATAAGAGGTATACATTTCAAATATTGCTTATATTTTGATTTTATTTTCAATAGATTCAAACACACCTATGAAGATGAATATATACTATCAGCAATGATTCACCCATTATTTAAATTAGATTGGCACTGGATAAAATCAGAGATGATTAATGCAAGATCTTATTTCCATTTTGAGAAAAGATCATGATAGAGAAAGAGCAGACCTGATTCCCTTAGCCAAAACAAATACCAAAATATTTTCTGATAAAGATAAAAAAAATTTTGATAAGGAAATTAATGAAAATCCTTGTGAAGATGTTTTATTAAATTTTTTTCAAAATAAAGATACTTCTTTAAATATTTTTAATAAATTCCCCGAGTCAAAATTTTTATTTATTAAATATAATACCACCCTCCCATCCTCTGCTCCAATTGAAAGTGTGTTTAGCACGGCGAAGGCTGTGTTGAGCAATAAGCGCTCTTGTTTGTCTGATGAAAATTTTGAAAATCAATTATTGCTAAAAATAAATAAAAAATTATTACAAAAAAATGTTATCTTATGATTATATATTATATATGAAAAATTTTTATAATAAAATCTCATCATTTTATATATTATTTTTTATAGTTTTGTCTATATTATATATTGTAAGAAAAAATAAATATATTTTTTTATATAATAGTTAATTTTTTTAAGTAACGAGTAATACGTTACTTTTTTGAAAAGGTAACGAGTAAGGGTAACGCGTTCTTTTTTCCCAATGTAACAAGTAACGGTAACGCGTTTCTTTTTAGAGGTAACGTTTACAGCACTACTAATAAGTAAATATTATATTATATAATTTATTTATTTGGACAATATAAAGTATTATAAATCTTATAATACTTATTTTATATTATTAAATTAGGTGATAAAAAAAAATTATATTTCTATTTTTTATTTATTTTAAATTTGAATATTATAATAAATAAAATATGAATTATTTAAAAAATAATAAAAATGGGTAGGTCTATAAGTCGAAAGGCTTGGTAATACGAAAGGCTAAAAAATACTATTGAAAATAAAAATAACAAAGAAAATGTTTAATGAGATATTTGATTGATTTATTGCTTTTTTTAGAGAAAAAATATTATAATAACATTACATATTTTTATTAGTTACATGGATGTGTATTTTATTATTATTAAATATTTTAATGTTTTTTTCAAAATTATATAGAGAAAATATATAGTTATAAATATTATAAAATTTATATAACGCGATTAAAATTATATAAAATATATTCTTATCATCTTGTGAAATGAGGCTGCCAATGAAGCTGATGTAATTAGCCCTGTGAATTGCTATTGCGAGTCTTTGTCTTAAGAAGAAGCCTTCACGAGGTTCATCTGTTAGTTTGAGGATTAGCGATCCAAGTTCCTTGAAGAAAGAAAGAGCACGATTCCCAAAGGTAATCAAGGTAGTGGAAATGATGGGAATGAATAAGTGATCTTGGGATATCTCTGAATATTTTGCAATTTTTAGAAGCTCCTTGTTCTCCAGAAGGTTAAGGGATTGATTGGAAGGAGCCAATGGATCAATACAAGAGTAATCCCAGACCAAGAATTGACCTCGCTTCCAGGGAATTTGAGAGATCCCGTCAGGGCGTTTCCCATCAGATCTGAAAAGACCAGAGGGTTCAAGAATAGAAGGAATTTGAGCGGATCTCAGAGCTCTAAGAATTATAGAATTGCAAATGTTAAGTCTAACGATGCGGCCTTTACATGAACGACAATGTAGACTATGCCTTCCATTACTCAAAACAGCTTGAGTTACTAAGCAATTTAAACGGATGCCTATAGCATGAGTTAGCTCATTTTGGATCAATTGTAATTGTAAGTTCGCGGATGGAATGGCTTCGAGAAACTCATGTCCAGAACCATTAAGCAGAGAGGAGAATAAGGGACGGTCCAATGATTGCATACTGGAAAAATATGGAAATTTTAAGATCTTTTCAATTTTTTTATTAATTCTTTGAAATAATTGGCGGTTTTTAAAAATTAATTTTATTATATTAATTTTTAAATTAATATTTTTAAATTAATATTTGGTTATGATTTTATATATTAAGTGAGTGTAAATATACTGTAATTACTTGATAAAGAAGTAAATGAGAAACATAAATTTTTTAAGGTATTTTTAATTTGAGGAAGCATTTAAGAGAGGAAAGGCTAACATCTTAAACGTAATTTTGAATATAATTATATCATTAAACTCATAATTTAACCGCTTAGATGTTTTTTTTACGTTTCCGGTTCACAAAATAAATTTTTTGTCGCGAAAGACTTTTATAGGGGAAAGGCTAACATCTTAAACGTAATTTTGAATTAATTTATATCATTGAACTCAGAATTTAATTCTCTATCCAAAACCGCTTAGATGTATTTTTTTACGTTTCCGGTTCACAAAATAAATTTTTTGTCGTGAAAGACATTTATAGGGGAAAGGCTAACATTTTAAAAGTAATTTTGAATATATTTATATCATTGAACTCAGAATTTAATTCTCTATCCAAAACCG